AGCAACCCTTGATTCCCAAATCTCTTTCTTGAATTTGCAACTAATTCCATATAATCAAATTTCTTGCCCTTACTGTTACATTTTCTCTGCCACCAAAACAGCAACTGCTGTACTGCCACTTTTAAAAGGGTTAATTGCAATTAATTCTGAAGTCTTCTGAACAACTTCAGAAGTGTACAGAGAACGGTATCATACCATATGAGTAACACATCCCATACCCATAACTTTTTTTTATGATTAGTAGATTCCAAATAAAAAAATTAACTGCCAATTAGAATAAAAAGAAGGTTCCTCTAGTTTATGAAGGCATTTATTATCACACCCAGCCCCTTTCCATCACTCTCACAACTATATACTCAACAGACCCATATGGGCCAATTGAGACAGAAGCCTTTGCAGAGAAGGGCTCTAGGAAGAAATTCTCCATTCTCTTAGCCTCCCTTAGAAACTTAAAATTCCTTAGATACTCTCCCTTCCCTTGACCTTGCATATCAAAATACGGTGCACAAGCTGGGCTTGCTTTGGATGGACTCAATTCTACAGAGGCAATTCATCATTTTTTAATCAAACAAAATATTCTTAAACAGACGAATAAACAAAAAAAGTTAAAAGCCAGAAACGACATCCAAAAGCAGCAGAAATGCAGGCAGTCTGTATTAATGGAACCAGTAACAATGCACCATGCCTGAAGGGAAAAGGACCCTCTTTACCCTTTGCTAATGGACCTTTGCTGAGTCCATTAGCCACCAAATACACCTTCAACACAGGTTTTGTCTGCCCCTTCTACCTTTGCCTACCTAGAGAAACAACAGCTACTGGTCCTCCAAGACTGATTTTACCTCCCCATGTCAATCACCAACACCTACAGCTAATCATCAGCACTAGTTACAGCTTTGGCACCTGCAGCCATGTTTGTTGGTTAGGTTTGGTATCAGATTCACCAATGAAAATAGATTTACTGCTGAAATTGCAACTTCAATCCAGTAAAACTAAAGAAGGTACAATCATAGCTCTCCACCTTGTTTTCCCACTTCAATTACACATATTGGCATTACAGCTTTTCTGTGAGGGCAGCCCCACAGGTGGACAATTAATGATGTGAGGCAGCAGATTTCCCACACAAACTAGCAGAAACACGCTTTGAGCTCCAACAAAGTTTTGAAATCACTGGGCAGGGATTATGTAGCCGGAGTATACAGCGACAGCCACTTTCCCGGCCACTGATACACTATCTTCTACCCTCCCTGGCAGTGAGAAACTCATATGCCAATATATATTATGCCCCCATTTTCTTATCCCAAAAGAAAGCAGGACAGTTATTGTGTAAAATGGGAATGCTGATGATCCTCATAGGCATAGTTTTGTATATTGACCACAAAGAAGAGACCAGTATTTCAGACTGGGCAGCAGAATGAGGAAGGAACACCTTGCCAGGGCTCACAAGAGCCCTTCTCATCCCACACAGCCACAGGTTTCCAGTATGAACTCCATCTCCAGAGACCTCCTTTAGACTATTAACTTCCTGCTTTAGTTTTGAATTTCAGCCTGTGCTAAAATTCAAGGCCAAGACTATGTCACATCTAGTCTGCCTCAACCCCCAAGAAAATGGAAGCAGCACCTTTGCCATGTAAGAACTGGCAGGAGAACACAGAAACTCTCAACATAACAGAAACTTGGGATAGTTCCTTAACAGTCCTCAAACAGGAGCTTGTGTTTCCTCCAAATGCTATGTGACGTGAGCAAGGAAAAAAACACACTTTGCAGAAGTGGATTGTGCAATGAAATCAAACCTCCTCTCAGCTTCTGGCCACGTGTGAAGAAGAATTTCGCTGCTAGTGCTCACAAAAAGAGGTACTCAGAGTCAAGAAGAACAAAACCACACAGAGACCTCTCCAGAGCCTGTGTAAAAACTCCATAAACACACACTTTAAGGCAAGTCTGAAAGGACCAGCAGAGCACCACATCTTTCTTCAGAAAAGCATTGAGTCCCAGAACCAAAAGAATGTTTCCTTAAACTAAAATACTGTGATTCCTAACAATATTCCAGTTCTGAGTACTCCCTCAGGACTGTGGCCTGGATGCCTTTTGCTGTCATTTTTGTGTAACATACCACCACATGGGACAGCAGTGACATGCCTGATCCTTTCCCATGGACAGCCTCTTCCCACAAGATCCCAGTCCCCAGAAAAGACAGGAGCATGGGGCACCAAGGAGAGTCTCCATGAAACTGCTGCACTATTTTTAAGTGAAAAACAAACCCCAAAAACCTATTTTCCTAACAAATTCTGCAAAATGTTTTTCAGTTATTTACCCTCTTAAGTCAGATAGCCAGGCTTTTTAAATCCAGCATGCCTTGGACTGAATCAGAAATTAAGGTCAGCTAGAAAACAAGTGGGCTAACTTTTTGTCATCAAAACCGGGCTTTCATTAAGCTATTAACACCATGCACATTCAGCAAGAAGCAATTACTTTTCTGACTACACAGGATAACACTGGGATCATGGAGTTCAGCCCGAGGATAGGAACCAGCCTTCTGCTTTTGTCTCAAAATAGCATCATTATCCCAGAACACATTTCAGGGCAGGCAGGAACAGAGTTAGCCACAAGCTTTCTGCTCTAAAGTGCAGAACAGGGAAGGACATGGGACAGAAAGCTAATGAATCGACAGAATGGAAAAAAATATCCTTGATCTGCTGCCATTTGCTAATATTTACAAGAGAACTAGGGTAATTTTGTTTCAGGCTCAGCATAGCCAGTGTTCATTGCACCTGGAGCTGCTGAAAAACACAATTTGTCAGCAGAGGCAGATCTGAGCAGTTTCATATTAATCCTCCAGAGATTTTTATTCTCCAGGCTACATCTAATAGGATTTTTCCAAACTTTCCCAGATTGTTTGCCTCCAACAACAATCCAGAGAACACTACTCTGTCTGATACTCTGAGCAGTTAAAATTCTCAATTACTGACAAAAAAAAAATTAACAACTTCACCCTGGAACCAAGATTACAAGTCAGACCCCTTTGATCAACTTCATAAATTCTCCTTTCAGGAGATGAGAAACCAGCAAGTCTCAAACCTATATGGCAACAAATCCTCTATCTGGAGCTGTGCTCCAAGCTCTCCCAGTGCCAAGAAAGGCATCACACCACACGCCGTGTGTGGGACCATCACATGCTTTCAGACGCATCAACTACCGGTGAAAATTGGCCAGCAAGAGCCAGGAACAGAAGCTTCTCTGAGCTGTTTCTGCACTATACAGAGACACTGCAGGGACACAGAGCTCACTAGGAATACAAATTTAAACCACAACGAGGAAGAGTTCAGAATGCAGGCATGGCTCCCTGTCAGCCACCATCCCATCCTGGAATCTTTTCAGGAAACTGGCTAATTCTTCATTTGTTACCCTAGACCGTGTCAAATGGCTACATTCCAACAGCTGCTAACACACATCTCCACTGGAGGGATATTCAATTCAGAGAGCTTGTCAAAGAAAAGTCATATTACCTTAGAACATGAAATCCCAATCCCATGGGAACAGAAATCCCAAAGAAAGAGTGGTGTTTATGTCAGGAGGCAGCAGACAAATTATACCCTTGGTTTGGGCTGACATTCCAATCTTATCAATGTCTCTGATCTAAACTCTGCTAAGCACTTTGAAGCTTAGTCTAAAGCAAATTACTTTAACTCACCCTTTCCCAGAGTCCTCAAACACCAGTTACCTCTACCATTCGCATTCCAAATATTCTTACTATTACCACTGAAATGGTGGAGTCCACACATCTATCCCTTTCCAGTTTCAGCACCAGAGACCAGGGTGCAGACCTCTATAAACCCCAGTCCTGAAACTCCAGCCCCATGGAAAAGAAGCTTAGTAACACATTTGTAAATGAAAACACTTCTGGCAAATCTATAAAGGCATAATAGCCCAAATATCAAACACCTGGCCTGTCAAACTGAGCGGGAGACAACACACAAAAATGTTTTGAGCCTGCCATTACAATTTTATTCTACAAAAGATGGAACATGAGACATCAGGAAAAAAAAAAGCTCATTTGAGAAAACTGCCCAGAAAAGAATGATATCAAGACAACTCTTACCAAAGTAAGTGTCTGAGACTCTTTCCGTTGTAGTCAAACTCTGCTGCAGAACAACCCTGAATCAGGAGGACTCCAGCTTCCTTGAAAATTCACATGTGGGGCAAGGACCAAGGTACAGAGAGATGGCAGTAGGAGGGGTAGGAGGTGGTAGCAGGAGGGGTAGGAGGTGGCCATAGTCAAGCAGGAAGTATGAATCAAGTCACAACAAGTTGAAGAAGTGCTTTTTTTTTCTTTTTTTTAAGAACAAGGAACACAAGACAAACTGGTCTTACCCTTCACTCAGGCTCACCACAGCAACCTGGAGAATACTCCCAAAACTCTTTCTTATGGAGGTCCCAGCAGTATATCACCAAGGGTTAGTGTAAATAAAATAATATGGACAAGAACACACAAAGAAAATCCAAATGCTTGTGACCCTGAATTAACAGGTCCTTCCTTGCCTATTCCCCCTATTTCGGATTTCTGTACATGTTATTTCTGGACAGCTCTGGTCATTCAGATATGAGTGATGTCACCTATAGTGGATTACCCAGTCAGCTGGGGACCTTACAGCTGTATTGCTTAACTAGGTAATTTCTGTGACATTATCAAGCAAAAAACACTTTTGTGCTTGGGATGTAGTAAAGAGTCATAGCTAAAACAATTCAGCAAAAGCAACTGAGTCCTGAAAATAATATAATCAAGGCAGCAAGAGCCAAGTAAGCCAGAAGTAACCCAAGTTTAGCTGAAGTCAATGAAAAATCACACATATTACAAACACTCAAGAAGTTTGGTGTCCCTTCTTCAGCACCTGTCATTGCCACTTGGGCTTGGCAAACAGCAGATGTCCCCAGAGACCTATTACAAAAGCTCTTCCTCAGTCCAACTGGAAAGACATCAAAGGAGAAAACAGAAAGGTTCCTACCTGTTACTTCCACAATGTGGTGCCTGGCGATATCATAGTAGGGATCATCCCACTGCAGGTGAGTGACAGGCTCAGGGGAGCCTTTGGAGTCATCTGCACAAAGTACAAGAAACAAGCAATCAGAGAAGGGATCTGGAGCACATTATTGGCAAGTACAAAGAGATAGAGGTATAAGAAAAAATGGCACTACTACATGGGAGGGGCTAATGTATGCAACTGTACACCTTGAAAACCCACTTTTGAAATTCTGAATGGACAAGAGCAGCAATGACTTCAGAAGAGTCCTGTCCGTCCTGTGAGAGCCATATGTGTCCCTCAATGTACACTCTCTCAAACCATTATTCAGATATGTCACAAATATTCACAAAGACAAAACCTGAGGACACCACCATGGCTTTTTAGGAAAGGAGGATTTTAACATAGTCCCCATGATGGATGGTCATCCTGTACATCCTTGAGCTAATTTTCCTGACCTCTTTGTTCATAGTTCATAGCACAGGATTTCAGAGCAACAACTCAGGTCTCCAGCCCCACCTCCCAGATGGAAGTTTGAGACTATTCCTGTACAGAAGGCCAAACTCTTCTGCAAGAGACCATAATGGATGACACTCAAGGATTTACAGCACATCTATACTGTCAGCACCAAAATGTAGCCAGGCACAGGACTGAGAAGAGCACATTTACAGCAGCTGGCTATTCAAAACTAAGGCTGATTCACTTGGGTGTGGTGCAAGTTTAATGTGGCTATAAAGCTTTAAATTGATCTGGGGCTCTCTGAATATGTAGATATGACCACAATGCTGCAGGACAAACAACTGCTTTTTGGCCAAAATCCAGATCCCAAACAAGCAGGCTACTTACCTGACTTGGGAAAAGCAGGGACTTCATCTGCTGGCCAGTTCTTATCATCTATGGAGGCCAGTTTGAGCTGACTGAGGGACTGGTTGGTATCATCCAAGTTCAGGTCATCCTGAAGCTCCGAGAGTGGGTCTGTAGCCATGGTCCCCAAATATCACAGTTTATTTTGCAGTGTCTAGAACACGGACTGCAGAGATTGTTAGGTGAGACACAGAGATCACAAATCTACCTCCCTGCAGAAGCACTTCCTCTTCTCACTGATTTCCCCCCAATACTCCCTTATCTTTACTTATCCAGAGACTGTTTCCCCTCCCCCCTAATACAAGCAGCAACTCCTCCTCCTTGCTGGAGGCACTACATGTCAGATTCTTTCATGCCAATTGCTATCAAACGCCATCAAGAGCTGTACCAACCCTCTCAAGGACTCTCTGCTTGACCACAGCTCTGGACAGAACAGTTTTTCTCTCCTGAAACAGAAGCAGCACCAGGACTCTGCGGAAGGCGACAGGCTGCACCAGCCCCTGCCTGATACACTCCCTGCATGGCTCTAAGCTCCCCCTCCCTCCAAATGGCTGGCACAAAGCCCGGCTGTTTCCACAGTTGGCCCAGTGCTGGAAGCTTTCCCAAGAATCACCCCCCCTTCTTCTCCCCATAATGGAGAACCAGAGCTCTCAACAGCACTGAAGTGGGTGCTTCAGTGTGCTGGGATCTGAACAGAGAAGTGAACATCTCCTCAAAACAGGAATTTTTTAGGCTGAGCTATAAAACAGGGAGAACAATACACATACAATCTTCATCTCCTTTCAGCATCACCAACAAATCCTTTCTCCTACATAATAGCCAGCAGCAAGGAATCGTCTCTTTCATTTAAAGCTATACTGCCTGAATATTTTTCACCAAGCATGCCATAAGGAGACCAAAGAATTAAGAGGGTCCAAGACAGCTCAGTGCATTTGCTGTTGTTTGCAAATACTTCTCACTCTCATCTGAAGCAGAAGATACATTAAAACTGGGACTGAGCTAGCACAGCATACAGGATCTCCTAAAAGTACCAATTCAGGGACAATCCTTGGGAAGCAGCTGTTATCCTCTGAATTCAGTCTCCTGGAAGTAAGCAAGGAAACATTAAAAAGGACAACTATGTAGGTCTGGATTACATGGACAGTAATTCAGTGGCCAGCAGGCAGCAAGCCAAGAGGAACTGTAGAAAAACGAAGTGACACCTTGCATCAGAAAGAGTCTCTATAACACTGTTTCACAGAGATGCTTGTGCTTATTTTGCTTTATGAGGAGAGCACAGGGTTCAAAGATGATCTGAGGAGGTAAAACACCTTAGTGTGAAAATAATATTCACAATAAAGCTATTTCCTTTGGCAGAATGGAGAGGGGGCAATGATGTTTCGCGCTTTCCATCCCTAGAGCTTGAATGTGTATATTCATCCAGAGAAAACAATGAAACAGTTACTCAGACAGCACAGAGGACAAAATCTGTGAGAGATTAAGTTCTGGAAGGTGTCACATCCATGCTCAGGTCTATACTTGCACCAAGCTTGGGGATGCATTTTTAGAGCACAGGAAATTGGATATTCAGTGTTTTTCCTCTCCCTTTGGACCATTCGAATGTTATTTATTTCCTGTCCTCCCTTATCTGCTACTCACCAGTTTGCAACCAGTTTTCACCTCTCTGGGGCTCCCAAAGGATTGGAAAGTATTGCTAATCAAAGGCAATGTTTCCCAAAATATCAAAGAGCATGACATATACAGGCAGCAGGTCATCAAGACAGCACATCAGACACACAGGGTCCCACCACTGCAGCCATGCAAAGTTCCAAGCAAAATTATACCCTGCCCTCTGGTGAGGGCTGCCAGAGCTGCCTCACCTCCTCTGATCTTGACAGGGCAAGGAGCAAGAAATCAGTTCCCTAGCACCGTGAGCTAATGCTGGAACCACGTAGCAGTGGAGCCAAGGGACAAGGACTCCCCACCCCTAGCAGCTGATCTGATTTCTATGGTAACACCAGGCACTGACTCCTATGACTCAGCGAGCTTAAAGCATTTCCCACAGGAGCTCAACAGACCCAAAAGCCAGTGCTGCATGCTGAGGAAGCATCCATGGCTCCCCAGGGCAGCCTCTCAGCATTCACAGCTCTCAGGGACTTCCCGGCCCTAGTGGGGACAGAGGACCCACATTCAACTGCTGCCATTCACTGAGATGCCTTTCATGGGAAGTTCTTGGGGACAACCACTTCCCCAAAGCTGGGTCCTGAAACGTTTGAGGACCAAATCCAAATCTCCCCACAGAGCAGTGATGGCTCTGCTATAGGGCCAGCAAGTCACCAAGTGTTCTCACTTTTTCCTACACAGATCACCACCTGGCTTCACAGTCAGTTTACAGCACTTGTCCAGAGACAGAAGAGCAGGTTATTAGACAGCACCAGGGGATTTCCCCTGAGGCATATAATTAATCTTAGTGTGGCACCATGTGGAAGTTGTTAGTAGAACCCAAACTGCAAAAAGAGCCCAGTGGATACTGCTCTTCCCTCACTCTTTGGAAAAACAGAGAAGGCTCTCCAGATACCTTCATGTGGTTTTCACAGCCAGCTTCATTCCTTGGCTGTAGATTACTGCTCCATGGTGTTAATGGAAGCAGGATCCAGAGCAAAAGACCTCTTAGATTTCAGGTCCTTCTTGTGAACCAGACTGTAGTACCCAGAGAGCCCCAGAAGGTTTTGCAGAATTTTCTCCCGCCCTTTCCCAACATGTAAAAGGCAAAAGCATGGGGTCTCACATCAGATAACCATACAGCAGTTTAGGACATGTAACCCTCTACCTGTTTGGGAACTAGTAGGCTCTGAGAAGGAGATAAATGGAGTTAGGATGTAAGACACAAATTTAGGATCTTCATACAAGGATACATATTTTACTTTCCAATACTGCAGCCACATGAGATGCTTCCCTGTATACTCAAAAATGACCCCTAAGGATCTGTCATTAAATGGAATCCATATGTATCATGGTGATATATTTGTTAACATGAGTAAAGTGTTAGTTAAAAACACTTCATGTTTTTTTAACAATAAAAGAGCATTTCAACAGATTTAACTCAGTTTAAAAACTACACCTGTTTTACATAAATCTCATTACAAAAAGCAAGTGGTACACTCCATATAGCAAATAAGATAAGAAAAATTACACACCTAGATTTAAAAAACAAAAATTCTAGCTGAACATTCCAAAACAAAAGAATCACACCTGACAGCAGAAGCACTTGCTTACTGCCAAGCTCTAAAGAGCCAACCATTACCTTTTTTTCCAAGTACTTAAGTATGTCTTCTGCAACTACACTGCACCTGAACACTTGCTGTGTAATAAAAATTAACTTTCCTACATAAGAGAGACATATGATGGAGAACAGCACATTCTGCTAAAGAAGAGAACTCAGACCACTAAAATAAAATTTTCACACAAATTCTGAGCTGAAGATTCCTTATATAAGATCCAGAATTTACCCAGGGAAGACTATTCACTTATATCCAGAAAATCTTGGTAGCTGCTGTTCATGCAAACTATTTTTTTTCTTCAATTTCAATTTCACTACTTTTCTACCACTTATTTCTAAGCTACATCTGCTTGGTAGTTTCCTTTTCCTGTTTTTCTTCTAGATGTACTATTAGTTCAGAAGTGAATTACACTTCAAAATAAGTCCATGCATATATTACCACATCCTGGAGCTGTACCTACAATAAAGAATTACAGAAGCAAAGCGGTCTCTTCTTCTGTGCAAGATGAACAAGCAATGGTCAGATGCAACGCAGTCCAGTTCCGGGATTATTTTTCTGACTCTACTGCCATCCACACCTCCTCCCAGTTCTGGCTTATTTGCACAAATGTCTTTTTCTGTACACATCAATCAAGAACCTGCACTTTGCTGTAGTGTTAAAAACAAGCACATTGCAAGAAAAGGGAGCAGTTACTCAGCAGCAGACCTTCAGAGTACTCACATGCATGAATAAGTTCCAGAAGCAAGACCCACTTACAAAGCCCACCCCTTATCTTCCCTCACATCGAGACATATCCAAGATACCACCGAGAGCATCACTACACTGGTACTACCCTGAAAGAACAAAGAGGTCCAGGGTGAGACCTTGTCATGGCTCACCATGACCAATAAACTCAGAACAGACAAATTATTGCTCACGGAAGCTCTTTGGTTCTTCATTATTCCAACAGCTTTTTAATTGAGCAGCCTTCCTTCCCCAGTCATCTCAATCCGTTTGCTGAAGGCCACCTCCGTGCCCGCTGGAAATCCACCCTAGCGAGCAGGCAGCCTGCCCTTACTGGTTTTCTGCAGGGTCTGAGGGCAAAAGCGCTGAACTCTCCAAGGGTCCCCTTCGGAGCTGCCGCACAAAGTACAGAGGTTGCTCTCAGCGCCGTGCAGGACCCGCCCAGGACTCACATGTGAGGAAAGCTGTGGGGCACACACAGCCCGGCGCGGGCTGCACCCTCCTCCTTCTCATCACCCTCTCCACAATACATCCGTTCCCTCCCGTTCCCTTCGACTCATCCATCTCCTGTGAGACGCCTGAGCGAACCTCAAGATTGCTTACGAGACTCAGATTTGCTACTTACACTGTTGAAACAAAGGTCCCCTAGTACACGCCAGCTGTCTGAAGGCAGACAAGTACCAGTCCCTGCTGCTGGGCACTGGGGTTAGCGGCAGCCAGCCCCAGCGCCAGCCCCGCC